GTGGTTGTAGGCGGACTGCGAGAGGAAGCCAGGGGGATGGTGGGGTGCAGAACCCTGGGGACCAACTCTGCTGCATCTTTCCAGCTAGGAAAAGAGGCTCAAAAGTGAAAGCTTCTGTAAGACTGGGATAAAGGGGAAGTAAGAGGAAAACAGAAAGAGAAGAGAGGACCCCCCTCTGTCCTCCTCCTGACCAGCCCCAGGACAGGCCAGGGCCAACCTCCCACCCCGTCACATCACTTCCCACCAGGGCGGGGCTGGCAATCTGGCCTCCTGTGAGCGCGGCTAAAGGTCTGGGGAGCAATTAGGTGGCGCTCAGCTGCTATCCCGACTGTCCCCTGGGGAAGCTGGTGGTGGGTCCCATTCGGTGACCAGACCAGACAGTAACACTGCGCAAGCTTCCCAGCAGTGAGGTGCAGGTAAGGGAAATGGTGGCGACTGTACCTCCCATGTCCCTGGGGCTGTCCCATTGTGATAGCAGTATCCCAAGCCCCTGAAGTCGGCTCCACTCCCTCCTTTGAGAGGGCAGGCCATGGTCCAGGCTTACTGTTCCCCGAATGCCCCAGTCCCCCAAAGTGCCCCGTGAAAAAGCAGAGCTGGAACAAGGCTGAGTTTAATTTGCTTTGAGTTTGCTAATTGAGGGGGAGGACGGTTCATTTCTCCCCGGCGCTCGCCCAAGGCGCGCGTCGGTGCGCTCGGGGCTTGACACGCACACAAAGGCTCCAGGCAGCGTGGGCAGCGAGGCGGACAAAGACCACCGCCGCCTGGGCTGTCCAGGAGAAATCAGCCGGGCCGTGCCTTGTGCCGGGCCCCGCACCAACCCGCGAGGCCCTCCTCGGTTTTGTCCGAGGGGACGTTTTAAAACAAAAGCCTCGACCTCTTTGCGCCTCCCAGAAAAAAAAATGTTACAACTTAATCTGCCCAAAAATGTTACTGTTTGCCGGGAACTTTGACCCCGCCCTGCGGTTCCGTGTACAGTAGCGCCGACTGTAGCCCTAAGTCCCCTCCCCGCCCCCCGGCAGGCCACAGCCAGTCCTGCCTCGAGACCCTGTTGCAAAAGAAGGGTCTGCCCCCTGAGGCAGCCCCTCTCAGCAGCCTTCCAGCTCTGTTTCTCTGATTTAGGGACGCACCCAGGATGTCTGGCTCGGCGGTCTGACTCTCCGATCCCCTCAAGGGGAGTAACTGGAGACTTCGATGTGAACCGTGAGCCTACGGTCGCACAGAACTCGCCTATAAACCCACTCCCAGCCCTCTCTCCAGCCTAGAGCCCCAAACACCCCGACACTGCTGGGCTCTCCCTCTTCCTGAACCCTAGCCCTGCCCTCATACTCTCACTGAAAGTCTCACCTAGAGTGCAGAGGTGTCAGCCAGGAGCTGCAAGTCCAGCCCAGCCGTACAGAAGGAGCAATTTAGCCCGTCCCCAAAAAGCCTGATGCGAGTTGGCTCCCACAATCCCTTGCTGGAGCCCAAGGAGGCCAAGGGCACCTCAAAACTTACATATCCTGAATCCGAGCAAGGAACTAGCTTCCGGCCTGTTTGCCGGAGACCCTCCGCATTTTGCGGGCTGCGTGTGTCCAGAGATTTAGGATGCGGTCGCAGCGCCTGAGCCCGCTCACCTGAGTTTCCGTGAGGCTGAGGCTGTGCGCCAGCTGCTTCCTCTCGGCGCCCACCACGTAGTGGTTCTTCTCGAAGGCGTGTTCCAGCCTCAGAAGCTGGGAAGGGGAAAAGGCGGTTCGGATCCGCTTCGGCTTTCGGGCCAGCGCGTTGTGCAAAAGGAAGCTCTCAGGGCTTGTGTCGTTCCCTGCGCGGGGCACAGAAGTCCGGTTAAAGGGGGCCGTCCTGGCCGGGGCCACGCACTTCTCCCAAGCCGGGCTGACCCGGCACCGCGCTAAGAGCCTCCACGTAGCTGGTGCGGCTCGGCACATGGGGACCCGGGACCCTCCAGAGGCACGAAGGAGATACCCGTCCAGCTGCCTGGCACGGACCGCCGGGGCTGTACCTGTGCGGCACCCACCCAGCAGCTGCCCCGGCGGGTGAGTCCCCAGGCTCCTGACCTCGGCGGGCTTCGCAGCCGCCCTGGCGCCGCAAGCCTCTCCATCTCCGAGCCGGGCGCCTAAGGCAGAGGAGGGGGCAGCAAGGCTGGGCCCGAGGATTGGCGCCCAGGACCCAAAGAAACGGCTTTCTCATCTTTCTAACCTCTGGGGAAACTTTGCCCCGGGGATGGGGGGAGGAGTGGCGACTAGTTGCTATCTAGTTTTCTCCGGGACTTATATTTAAAGTATTTAAATCTTTCTCCTCCTGAAAAGTGCAGAGGCGGATCGTTGCAGCCCTGCCGGGACCGAAATCTTGCCGGCGGGTGCACAGGGTTTCTGCTGCCGCTGCCTCCCGAGGCCCCGGCTCCCCCGCTGCCCTGCTCCAGAGAACTAGGAGACGCGAGCGAAGGCATCGAAAACCGAGCTGTGGGCACCCGATGGGGCTGTCTGCAACCCTGGAAGATTCCGATTACTCTGGCCTGGCACGGGAGCCAAGAGCGTGGCTGGCAGAGAATGAAGAAAGAGAGTACTAAACTTTTCTAGCAAAGCCAGAGAGTTTCGGGTTCACTTATTAGGGTGGCAAATCGATTCACCAAAAACCCAAAGAAAAACAAATCGACAGTTCAAGCGGGAATGGATGCAGATCCGATCTGGGAATAAAAGTAAAACATTGTTTTTGTTTGGCTTGCTTTTTTTTTTAATTATGGGGGAGGGGGATCTGCCTGATTTTAGGCTCCGGCAGGAACGCAAAGGGTTAATGAATGGACAAGTCGTTGAGTATTGATCGGCGGCCTCGGGAGGTAGGTCTTTTCCCCCCTGCTCAGATCGCTAAACTAATTACTCGTCTTTTTCTGGAGTTTTAACTTTCCTCCCACCTCCACCCAGAGAAAAAAAAAACAAACAAATCCAAAAAATAGCAAGAAAGGAAAACACCCAAACAGATCTCCTCCGGCCTGTCTTCCGACCGGGTTCATTTCTTTTAAAAGAAAAACAAAAGCAAAAACCAGACCGAACCTGCCTGCCCGCCGTGGCCGCTCGGCGCCCGAATCGAGCAGGTCTCGGCGAGAGTGCCGAGCCTCGGAGGTTTCTCCCCGCGCGGGTTCCCGCCCCTCCCCGAGTCTCCGAAAATAACAGGATAAAACAAATTCCCAGACTTTGCTCTCGGAGCGCGAAGACCTCCTCGCCGCCCGAAAAGGGTCAGAGGCAGCGAAGTCGCAGTCTTCTGCGACTGTAGGGGCGCTGAGTGGGTGGCGAACACGGTCGAACGCAGTCGAAGGCGAACCTGGCGGCCGGGCCCTGTCCGCGCCCCTCGGAGCCAGGGCGGTGAGGGCACCGCCGGGGAAGCAGAGAGCCTGGGGACCCTGCGGGATCTGTACTCCTTGGCCGCCGGCACTCGAGCAGGCTGGGACAGCCTGCCTCGACCTTCGGGGACAACTCCTCTCTCTGCGCCCCTCCCTAAAGGGTCAAGCGGCCGCAGGCCAGCCCCCAAACTGGCCGCAGCTCCGAGACTGGGGACCAACACCATGCCCGGCCCCTCGCCGCCCAGTTTCCGAATGCAGGGCGCGAACCGGAGGGAGAAACCTCCGCCCAGGCCTTGCCAGGCGCCCACCCGGAGCAGGCCGAGGGTAGTGCGGGCTTCGGCGCAATGCAGCCCCGAGACGTGGCACCTACCTTGGAAGCGGTGGCCCAGATATCGGTACCGGTGGATGAGCCAAGGGTAGAAGGTGGACGGGTCCCGTTGCTGCGAGGCGAAGAGGGGGTGTGGCGAGTGCGAGGAGGGCAGGGGGTGGGCGGCCAGGGCGTGCGGCGGCGGCACCGGGTGCACTGGCACGGCGGGGTTGGGCGGGTGCGAGACCGCCTCGGCGAACACCAAGTCCGGGTTGGAGTAGACGCCTCTGCCGGCGGCGGCGGCAGCGGCCGAGTGGAAGCCGTTGAGGAACGGGTTTATAGGGCTGGAGTTGGCGTAGCTGAGCGCCGCGGGACGGATGGGGTCCTCAGAGCGCGAGGCGGGCAGGGGACTGTCCTTGGCCACCAGCGACTCGATGGTGAAGCAGCGCTTGGGCGCCGGCTGGAACATGCTGCGCCGAGGAGCGGGCGCTCGGGGCTTCCGGCTCCCCGCGACCGCGGCGCGCTGCCTCCGCCGCCCGCTGCCCGCTGCCCGCGGCGAGGACCGACGAGAATTGGGGACTTGTTTGTTGGGGGTGGGGGTGGGGGGAGGAAAGGAAGAGAGAAAGGAAAGGAAAGGAAAAAGGAAAGGAGGGGGGAGGGGAGGGAGAGGCAACGCCGAGGATCCCGAGAATCTTGCACCAAACGCGCCCAACCTGGAGAGAGGGGGGGGAAATCCTTCCAGAAGAATTTGCAGGCGTGGATTGGGGTAATTTTTTTTTTTTGGCGAGATGGCGTGGGGGGATCGGAGTTAGAGGCAGGGAGGAGAGGGGGGGAAAGTTTCTCAGAGGAAGCAAAAAAAAAAAGTTTTCTCTCCTCTGCAAAATGCGGGCAGGGCGCCCTAAGTCCAAGGACAATCCATGGAAGTGTTCGCTTCTTCACAAGTTGTGCAAACGATTTGTTAGTTCATGAGCCTAATTAGTGCGGGGATCACATAAACAGCTTCCTCCGAAGCCTGGTAAATGGCTTGATGATTGGTCGCTATTACTCGCCCTGAGGTGGAAGGGGGGAGACTCTTTAAAGTGCGTCAGAGGGAGGCGAGTGCCTGGGAACCCGGAGGCCTGGATCCGGGCCGAGAGTGGAACGGAGTCGGCGCCGCTGCCTCGACCGTGCCTCCCGCGCCCGCCAGGCCGCCTGGCCTCTCCGCGCTGTAGCCCCGCGCTCCTAGCTCACTCGCTCCCGCGGCGCCCGCTGAGGCTTCTTCTCCTCCTCTTTCGCCTCCTCCTCTTCCTTCAGCCTCTCCTCCTCCTCCTC